GGCCCCGACGCGCCCAGGGCGCACCAGCCGCCCCACTCTGCGCCCGCGGGGGGTGCGTGCAGCTCTCTCCCCAAGGCCCCCTACTCCCCCGGGAGGGCCACCAGGCCCGAGCACCGCAAGGCCAGCGCCAGCCCGTCCTCCCCGGTGCCCTACAGCCCCCCGAACTGCAGAGCCCTCAGCAGCCCCCTGGACGAGCTGACCAGCCTCTTCAACTCCGGAAGGAGCTTGCTACGCAAGTCGGCGGCCGGGAGGAGAATCAGGGACCCCGAAGGTAGGCGGAGAGGAGAATCGGGGACCCCGGAGGTAGGCGGAGAGGAACCCGCAGGGAGGAGAATCGGGGACCCCGAAGGCAGGCAAAAGAGGAACCCGCGCCGGGGTGCATAGCACACGGGTGTGCGTGCCTGCACACGCGCACATCCTTGTCTGTTGCTTAAACACGGCTTCGGGGGACCGAGTGGCCATTCCAAGCAGATGCCCACTTAAAAACATCTTGTGCAGCCAATATGGTCAAGGGGGTAAGAATATTTCCATTCTGCATATAAAGCCTCGTGATATGAAAATACATAGTGTCAAAACTGGGATCAGCAAAGTCTAGGGACTTCAAGGTGTTAGAGCAAGACTGAGCTTGAGCTGGTGCTCTTTTCTCTAATGATATGCTTCGTGATAACCCGGAAGTGGTATTTTTGTAGCATCACATTGCCGATTCCCGCTGCATTCACAGCTCACCACGAGTGCCCGAGTGTCCTGGGCAGAGGTGACTCCACGTGACCACCTGTCCATTCACAACCTTAGATTGCATGCTGCTCGCCTTTGTATTGCTTCGGATGAATGATTTTTCTTCGGTTCGAGTACCACCCCAGGGACATCTTAACGCAGTTCTGTTAACACCTGTATCTTCTCATTGAGTAACTCAGCCTAGAGTGGGGTTTGCACTGACCATCCACTCAGGCGGGCACAACACCTGACCTGAGCCCAAGTTGAAAGTTGGATGTTTAAATGACTGAGCCACCCAGGCCCCCCCGGGGAACAGATTCTCATAATAATCGCAACTAATGTATTCATCTTCCAAAAAACATTCTAAGGCTTTTATACAAAACCAAAATATTTCCCAATGTGTTGTATCTTAAGGAAGAAATACGTTCATATCTTCTGTCTAAGGAAGTTGTAACAGGTCCCTTTTGTCATAATGCCATCGATACCCACCCCTCCAGGTAAATGGCAAACCATTGACATCCTAGCTTTACAGACTGAGATGGGAAACTTCAAGGTGAAGAGGTTAAATGCCTTCTTCGGGTCAAGTGGTAGGAGTGGGAATAAAATGTTGACATTTTATGGACACGCGAACCTGCTGTGTCTCCAAAAGAAAATATATAAACATGTTAGCTTTCATCATTTGATTAGGAAAATTACTTTTCTGTTCAGGAAAATTACAAAAACTCTAAAATATTTAGAAAGCAATCTGAGTAAGTGACAAGTAGATCAAGGTAGGAATACTTAGCAAATGACTCAATAACTTACTCCCTCTTCATTTTTCAAAAAAAATATGTGAATTGTTTTGCTAACAATTTAAGGATAGGCCCATTAAAAAATGAAATTATCCTTGTAGGTAGAGGAATGTTTGAATTTCACGAGTCATATATTGTATTCGAAGGAACAAAATGGAATCTAAGAGCAAAGCATTAAAGGAACAAATTAATATTTGCTTTTAGAACTAAAAGTTAATTAAAACCACATACAGCTCATTTTACTGGAGTTAGGAATTGGGTGAATTCTTCTTGACTTGATTGACGAAAGTGAAGTGAATGGATTTCTAGACACAATTGGTCTTCTGGAAATCTCTGAGCTGAGGACTTAGCATAGTGAGAGGTATAGTGAGGCCTCCGGCGTGGTGTGTGAATTTGCTAATTACATTTCCCTGCGGTGGCATGAACCAGTATTTGAGAACACGTATCAAAACCTCAAGTATGGGGCACCTGGGTGGCTCAGTCGGTTAAGCGTCCAACTTCAGCTCAAGTCATGATCTCACGGCTTGTGGGTTTGAGCCCCACGTCAGCCTCTGTGCTGACAGCTCGGAGCCTGGAGCCTGCTTTGGATTCTGTGGTCTCCTTCTCTCTGTCTCTCTCTCTCAAAAATAAATAAAAGCATTAAAAAAAATTCAAAAGCCCTCAAGTACAACACTGTTAGTGCAAGCCTAAAATTACAAAATATCTATTTTTCTACAGTGCGCTTTTACAAAACACTCTTAATTTGAAAAAAAAAATAGCTTGAGCCATTTACGACTTTCTCATAAACACATGAATTGGCAGCTTCTGTGCAAACACCATAGTTTTCATAACCGAAAACTTAGCAATATGAGACCAGGTCATCCCCCCACACCAGATTCCAGGAGTTCCACCTACAACGGTTGAGAACTGGGTAGTTCTTGATGGTCTGTGATGTGGGAAATAGCTTGGCACGTTTGCATGGCATGTCCTCATGGGATCTTACAGGTTATTCTTGCAGAATAAAAGAGACATAGGATGCGGAAGAGAAAAGTTTTTCGTGCTGGCACTAATCACTAGAGCTGCTACGTGATGATTAAGGTTTACACAATTTGATCCTGAAGTCAGTAATCCATTTTCTTCTGAATGAATTGAATGGCTGTTATTAATGATTTACTATAGTCTTGGGACTTCTTCCCTTTAAGGTTTTAAATCTTTTCCTTTATCCTCTTTATATTTAAAGATATCCGTATTTTCACCTGAAATGGCTTTCTTACCAAATAATCCAGTGGGTGGCTAATTCACCCTCCAGGCACCTGAATTAATTACCCTCATCTCTTGCAGTTGTGGTCTGGGGAAATTGTTCCGCCGATTTTGCAGAAGCGTTGGAAATATTCCCCTCGCTTCTTTGGAAAGTGACCTTGAGGAGATTACATTAGTAATCATTAGTACCCCGCTCTGGGCATCTCCAGTTAAAATATCAAGTACAATGAGTCCTGTGTAGTAACGAAGTCCTACCGTGTATAATTCTGCTCCGTCACTGCTCCACAGACTTAGATGTAGGATTTCACAAACATGATCTTCCTCAAAACGTTCACGTTCTGTTGACTAGTGGGTGTGCGATCTGAGATGTGCAAAGTCACTCAGATGCTAAGAGAGCAGGATGCACATCCAGACGGAAGGGTGGGGGTGGCGATGAACCCATAGCCCGAGAGGAATGATATTAGCAGTGAGTGGTTGTAGTGCTTGCCCTGTAGTTACCGTTTTAATAACCCAGTTAATTTTCCGGAGATGAAGAGTTGTCTGCTGCTATTATCCCCATTGCACAGATGGGAAGCTTAAGGCACAGAGAGGAACCCCCTTGCCCTGCGCCCATCCATCTGGGAGAGAGACATCGACATGCCTTGAGCACACAGCGATTCTGCACCCCCCCCCCCCCCCCCCCCCCATCACCCGCCAGGGCAGTTCTCTTACCTACCTCTTGTCTTTAAGACAAGGTTTGGAAAGTTCACATTTGCTTACCTGAGGCGCAGCAGGTGGGAGCCATATGGTTGGGGTAGAGAAAGTGGTTACGTAAATTTAAAAATGCCAAACATGCACTTTACGGCTATTGGGGTGTATATACAATTTTGGAATACCATATGTGGGCCACTTGGCCCTTGACGTTGAGAATGACTGGATGTTTAATTATCTGTGCCTTTCTAGACGCAATTACCCCATTTGGTCCCAAAATGTTTTTCATCTGATGTCATAATATGACTAATATTATTATGCCAATTATTTCTAGTTGCTCAGTTTCAAAAATTATGAGACTTAATTCAAATGAAGGGAGAGAGTCATCGGCTGGTGTAGGCCACTAGGGTGCTCCATTGCACCAAATGGTGTCCAGCGTCTAGTTGGGTTTATTTTAGAACATGAAATAAAGTCAGCATGCTGTTCTCTCCACCCATTGAAAAGACCAGGATGATAGGAGTTGGGCAAAAATGTAGCATATCTGGAGAAGAAAGGAGGAGAGCCAGGCTGAATAAGGAAGGGTCCGATCTGCAGAATGTTCTTACAAAAATTGTTTTATTACTTTTGATATAGTGCATCCATAGTTCATAAGATATAAATAGGTAGTCAAAAATGATGTAAAGAACAACAAAAACTGTACATCTCTTTGCATATAGTCGGTGTTTATTAAATACTTATTTGGTGAAAAGCCTCCCTGAAAAAAAGCAGCCCTCGAGGCAGTTTTACTTAAAGAGAATCACCTAAGCCAAATGGAAATTCTTGTTCATCTCAAATACTTTATTTTCCTGCAGGAACATTCTGAGTAAAGAGTATTTTGAGTTTTCCGATCAGAGTGTTAGATGAATTTTCACCGTTTAATATATTATCCCATTGGGCCATTTGTTTGAAAAGGAGTTCTTTTTAAAGTTGGCCGTATGGAAGCCATCAAGCATATGCAAAAGCAGAGGGAACAGATTAATGGACTCTCTCCACGGCCAGTCTCGCTTCGTCTCTAATCCCGCCCGGGGCCCCTCCACCCCTACTGGATGATTTTGAAGTACATTCCAATGTCAAATCAATTTATCAATAAATATTTATAAATATTTTATTATTGAAGTCCTTTAGAAAAACTAAAAGATTTATTCTAGAAAGTGCTTTAGAAAAAAATGAAAGATGTATTCTTAAATCACTTTAATTAGTACGGACCACTCCGTCCACTTCAGCCTTCACAGACATGATCCACTGCTCCTAAGAGTAAGAGAAACCTGCTTCCGGAAAGCATGGCATCAGTTTTCATGACAGAGACAGAATAATTCTCTGGGGTTAGATTTCCACCGAAAAGACACTACTGGCCTGTGAGATCTTCCCCAGGAGCTTCGAGGGAAACCCCTGAGGTGGGCAGCTGGCTCAGGGAGCCCCTTCTGCTACCACACACACACACACACACACACACACACACACACACAGGTGTGGATCTCCAAATATTATACCCAGACTAAGGGTGAAAGACCAACGTTCCAGAAGACAAGCTACAGGTGCTTCTGAAATCAATATTTTATGAGGTTTCGATGCTTCTATGCCACGTTAGGGACAGCTACTCAGTCATTGTTTAGTAACAAGAAGAATGCTTTGAAATCACAGAAATGTTGTGCACTTCCTGGCAGAGATCTGTGACTTGCTCAAGGACGGTGTCTGTGAGCTGCCATTTGGGGACACTTTCTTCATTTCATCTCTGACGCGTTCTGGTGAGATCACAGCACAAGAAATGGGTGCGCCTTATGCATGTCTCTGCCTCCCG